CACTACTGACACTATTCCTATTATAAAGGAAAAAATATATTCTCTATATATCTCTTACGAAAGTAGGTTTAGAAACACACCTCGTGTTGAACAACCGCAACAACGAGACGACAATCCGCATTCATTCTTGAATGTTTTCAGGTTGTCTAAGAAGAAGAAGAAGAAGACGACGACAACGAGTCAAGCTCAAGAAGAATTTGGGAGTGGAAGTGGATCTTCATCAAGAGGTGGCGGCAGATTCAACGAGTTAATGGCGTACCTGAGTGAAAGCTTAGTTATAGACAGTAGTGAAATGTTTGATTTGGTTGAGTGGTGGAGGGCACGAGCATTAACTTGGCCGATCCTAACACGACTGGCAATGGATATTTTTTCGATCCCGGTCTCCACTATTGCAGCCGAACAAGCATTCAGTACAACCAGCCGAATACTTGAAGAATGGAGAAACGCATTGCAGCAGGATATTGTTAAAGCTTTGGTGTGCATCAAGGATTGGGACTGTTCCGACCAACGCTTACACGATACAATCTCACCGGCAAACCAAGAATGGATCGAAGAATTTAATATATTAACTTTTAATTTTCAAGACGATCATTCTGCTTCAAATTAAATTTTATTATTCTAATTTGTAAATATTTATTTACTTTGTAATTTCTAATTTGTATAGTGTTTATTTTATTGTAATCTTGTATAGATTTTGTAAGTTCGTCAAATTTATAATTCGTCCCACAATGATTGCACTCTTTTTTCTTTACTAAGTTTTTATCCCAATTGGGATTTTCTTTGTAAGGTTTTTAACGAGACAATCATAAATTACAAATTTAAAAATCAATGATTTTCTTTGTAAGGTTTTTAACGAGACAATCATAAATTATAAATTTAAAAATCAATGAAGAAGTAATTTTTTTTATATAGTTCGTGTGTTCATTTTAAATTTCAAATTGTAATATACACATTGTAATTATACAAATACTTATACAACATAAAAATATAATATAAAAAAAATGAAATTCGGGCAGCCGGTCGGGCATCGGGCAGTCTAACCGGGCACGGGCAGGCATCCCCTGCCCGAAACCCGTCAATGGACAATTTTCAGGTCGAGTCGGGTAGCCTAAATTTTTAAACAGTTCAGATTCAATCATCAAGTAAAAATTTAAACTTTTTAGTGATTACAGATAGCCGGTCCAAAATTTCAGCACTGCTAATTACGGCTGGCTAACAAAGGCCCCCATCAAAGTATGAAAGCCACTTAAGTGAGTAAACTGATCACACTTCCTAGCAGTTAGAGTACAAAAACTTCGATCACATTTGTTCACTGTAAGATTCCTCAGACACAAATCTCTCTCCAATTCCCCATACTACCCTCCAAACACAATTCCCAACACACACCCCGAGGTGTCCTCTTTCGTCAATTTGCCAAACCCCCATCCACCCATCACTCACCCCCATCTCTCTCTCTCTCTCTCACTTCTGTCCTAACCCCAAACTAAAACCAGAGAAGAGGGAGAGAGAGAGAACCTTTATTCTCATCATCATCAACAACAAAAACAATGGATAGAAACATCGCAAGCGAAGAGGCGAAGCGGTGGCTTGGCACGGCGGAGAAGCTTCTCGCCGCGCGCGACCTCCTCGGCGCAAAGAGCTTTGCGATCCGCGTCCGCGAGGCGTACCCTCGCCTCCTCGATTCCTCCGCCGCCGACGACGTCGTGGCCGTCGCCGACACTCTTCTCGCCGGCGAACTCCGGATCAACAACCAGCCTGACTGGTACGCCATCCTCCAGCTCCCCCGCTACACCAACAACCTCGAGCTCGTCGCCACTCAGTACCGCCGTCTCGCCCTCCTCCTCAACCCCCACCGCAATCGCCTCCCCCACTCCGACGACGCCTTCCGCCTTATCACCGAGGCCTGGTCCGTCCTCTCCAATCCCTCCAAAAAGGTCTTCTACGACAATGAGCTCAACATGTTCGCCAGGTTCGAATTTGGGGCTGGCTCCACTCAACTGCACGAGCGGCAATTTCTCCAGAGGAATCAGCATTATATTCAGCAGAATCAGAATCTGAATCAGAATCTGAACCAGAACCAGATTCATTTTCCGCCGACACCGACACCGCCGCCACAGCAGCAGCAACAGCAACAGCAACATCAACAGCAACAATTTCCACAACCGCCGCAATTTCAACCGCTGCCACAGCAGCAACAACAAACGGGGAGGAATAGCCCTAGAAGTAAGGAAATTAACGAGGAGAGGCCAAATCTCAATAATGTAGCCGAGTCAACGCGGTCGGCTCGGCCGATTGAGTCAACTCCGCCAAGGCAAACTCCTGAGAAAACCACCCCGCAAACTCGGCCCGCTGAGTCGATTCTGATATCTCGTGCGGCCGATACGTCGACTCGGACGAGTGGGCAGGTTGAGCATGACGGTGAGAGTTTCTGGACCGCTTGTCCGTACTGCTACATTCTCTACGAGTACCCCAAGGTGTACGAAGATTGCGTGCTGCGGTGTCAGAAATGCAAGAGGGCGTTCCATGCGGCGGTGATACCGTCGCCGCCGTTGAGTGGGAAGGAGGAGACTTACTACTTCTGCTGTTGGGGGTTTTTCCCTTTGGGAGGGTTTCCGCGGAATGGTAAGAATTCGGGCGGTTGGACGCCGTTTTCGCCGATGTTCGCTTGCCCGATACAAGACCAGGGGACGAAAGGCGGTGGAGGGAAGGGGAAGAGAAACGACGGCCCAAGTTCTCCCCGGTTTATTTACAGGGACGATGACGTTTTTGTGGAGATTTCGGACGAGAGCGATGAGTCCGATTGCGATTGGCGGATTAGTAGGAGAAGTACCAAGAAGGCGAGAACCTCGAAGGGGAAAAGTTATACGGCAAAAACCACCAAGGCGGCGACGACAACGACGACGGAGAGGGTGACAAGGTCAAGTCAGAGTGGAGGAGGTCATGTTAACAATGCAGGTGGTGGTGATAATTTAGATGGGGCGGCGGCGTCGAAGGGCCCATCGAAAGGGGATATGAGTAGGAAGGCGAAGGCGGTGGCGAGTGGCGGGAAGAAGAAAGGGGCGGCAGAGTGGGGGAAATTGGATTTGAATGTGGAGTTTAGCAATGATGTCGAGGAGCCGGCAGCGGCGGGGCCGGGGATGAATAAGGGAAACGGGGCGGGGAATGGGGAGGAGGATAATATTGAAGGGATTGGGTTTTTTGAGGGTCTTGATGAGTTTCTAAGTAGTTTGCCAATACTAAATGTTGTTGGGGATGACAAAGTTAAGGCTACTTAGTAAAGTAAGACAAGACTCTTTCTCTTGTCATTGATCATGTAGCAGTTGTAATTGGATGTTGTTCCTTTTTTCTCTTTCACTCCTTTTGCATGCACTATAGTACCAGATGTGTGTTGAGCCTCTTTTTGTATTATCACTAATGGCTCTCACTTGGCTACTTAGAATCCGGCAGACATGATAAATGTATTTTGTAGCTTTCTAGAGGACATTTGTTGTACTACGTTAGGTTATGATGTCCTAGAAGGCATGGTCTTTGATTCTTGGAGTCTGGTTATCTAGATCATTATGATGGAACCTTGTCTTCTAAAACTTGAAATTGCTCTTATCTAATAGCTTATTCTCTGGTGGTTTCATCACCATTGTGTTCTGCTGGGTGCTCCATTTGACATGAGACCAGACTTGGTTAAGTTTATGTCTAATGTGCGTGGTAAACAGCTTACTGCAAAGGGTGCCTAATAAGTGACCTTTTGGCAAATGAGACTAAATTTTAGTTTGTAGGGGAAGGGTAGTGTAAGTATGATAGACCTCAGACCCGTGTACAGGTGTATGAACTAGTCATTAGAATTTATATTTATCTAGTTTCCTTTTTTATTTTTTTCCTTTAATCTCTCAATGATTTTAGTCAATTTATGATCTATCATAAGTACTTTGAAAGCACGATTGTGACTAAATGTTAGTTTCTCAGTCTTATTAGGACAGATTTTGTTAAGCCATCCATGGTTATTTGCGTAGTTAGTTGGTGCTTGTTATTGGAATGTGACATGAATCAGTCACCATTGAATTTATTGCCTTAGGTTGTAGGACTTTAGAATTCTTATGCATGATCGTATCTACTGCAAATTTATCAAACTAATCTTCTTCTTGATGCTTTTGCTTTGTTCGCATATGAATTTGTTACTGAATCAATTTCCATTGATTTCTGCTGCAGTAGTATTTCGGTCTATTTTTGTAATTTTTTTCGTTCTGGATCACTGATTCTGGCTCTCTTAATTTCTAAATCCCGTCTCTCTCCTTGATGATTTGGTTATGACCCGTTTTCCATTCCCTTTTTTCCTTTCTTAATTAACTTCTTTCATTCAAGTTTAGGCATGAAATTGGAAAATCTGTCTTATATCCTACTCACTTTGAAAGTGATAAATAAATTGATTCTTGTGTATATGGAGCTCCCATTCACGTTGATTTTATGCGACTCCTTGGTGGAGTCCTCTGCTTTTGAACGTTTAATGTCATTAAACTTGTGGGCATCCCAATTGTAGCAAGCATGTATATTGAGAATAGCATACTAGTTTTGTTTTTATCTTGGCCTGTTGTGTTCTCAGCCCCATGGGTAGTTCAACTAGCATGATTTTAATTTCACACATGACTCATGTAGAGGCAAGTATATTAACCTCCACTGGTAATACAAAAATCATTGTCCACCCTTTGTGGGATATCACCATTTGGCTGTATGAAGTAGAATTCTCATTTGTGCCTTTGGCTGGCTAAATTCATGTAAGATTGTACTTTGCATCCTGAATTTGTTTGAATAATTGAGGTCCATGACACCTGCTAGTAAGTATTATTGATAATGGGACTTTTTTTTTTTCAATTGGTTCTCTTTTTCAAGTATTAACTTGTGTACATTGTCCATGAAAGTGGGACTCTTATCATATTGTATGCAATATGCGTGTGATGATTGACATTGAAGGTGTTTTACCTCATTTGCTTTTGTTTCAAACAAAATCCGTGGTTATTGACTATCCCCAGATTCTACTATGATTCCTTAGCAACAAGAGGTAGAAGAGTGTCATGATTTGATGTCACTGAAAATGATTTGGCACACTTTAGATAGAAACTTATAAATCCCTTTTTACCATTCCTATTTTCTTCTTCTAAATGCCGTCTTTTTCGAGCATAGCGCTGTTCTTGTAACAAAATGACGATCTTGGACCATCGACCATTCTGTTGTGAGCTTGCTTAATGATCCCGTAATGCTCTTGCACTGTGGTTGTTTATAACAGTGATTGGGTTGGCTATGGAAATTGATATTATTCATTTATTTGAAAGAAGGTTCAATGAAATGCGTTTCAAGATGAGTTATTGGATGGTTGATAAAGATTGATAGAATGCCATGTGCTTTTTGATAAAGCGCTGTACTATTCGTTAATGTTTGATGCAGTCGTGCAAAAGCCACAGCCCTGTTATCGGAGAAATACCTCTGAGAAAGTGACTACTCCAAAAGGTGAAAGCAACAATAGTGGTCACTAAGAGCGTATTCAGCCAAGATTTTGTATTAAAAAAGGTAATTGACGCAATTGATCGGTAAACTCTTCAGTACGTGATAAGGTGGTCCTTGTGCAAATTTTCTGAACCGTATATGATCAAATTGACAAAACGAGTCGTACGTTTTGCAATTGAATTAGTGTGCAAGAGTAATTAAGAAAAGCAAAATAATTGCATTTGGAATAATACCCAAACTACTCCTTGGGTTTTGCCGACATCTTTTGCCCCTGTTATTACGTAAATACCAAAACACCCGTGTTTGTAAAATCATACTCAAACACCCCCTAAAGCAATTGATTTTTTTAAATACCAAAATTATCTTTTCTAGCCTTCAATAAATACAATTTAAACCATTATTAAACCAAAAAAATTAAATAAAACCAACCTTAAAAATGAACAACTCTCTCGAAATGATCGAGTATTTGCTTAGGTGTAAAAATTTAATTGCTTTAAGGGGTATAATGAGTATGATTTTATAAACACAATCTTTATAAACCATTGCTTAATAAGAGAGAAAAGTGGATTTAAGCAACACACGAGATATTTTGGATATTTTCTCATTACATTCAGAAGAAATTTAAGTTAAAAAAAAGGAAAAAAAAAAAAAAGCAAATGTTTCTTCCCACCCATAAACTCTTCAAGTTAAACAAATACCCATATCGGAAACAAATTGCCAAATTTGAAACCATTCTTCACCATTCTGTCATTCGGCATTTCCATTGCTGAGGCCAGATTCGACAAGTGGGGAGTGATTCTATAGCTCGCCACCGTCAGGCCGAAAAATTAGCTCTTTAGAGTACAGTACGAGTACGACCATCCATGGCAGACCGTATAATTAAGCAGTATTTTTTAGTATTTCCGAGCAATACAAGAGTAAACCAAGCTCCTTTAAGTGCTATATCAATGTCATTCATGAATTTAGCACAAAAACTTGCATCTCACTATTTTCTATCTATCAACGCTGTTCATGATTTGTCCTGACATGTAGTTGAAAGAATTTCCCGACAGTTTTTTTTTTTTTTTTTTTTTGTGGTATAGAATTATGTTTTTTATTTGCTTGTTTTATGTTTCAAATCATTTTAGAGTAAAGGTAGAGAGTCTGTGATGCTCTCACCACTTAACGTGGCTGCCCATCTAATACAGAAACGCTAACAATTACAGTGAGACCCACTAAATAAAGTGAAAACAATTTTCAAGCCTAATAAAATAAAGGCAAAAAAGAGTCCCTTCAAAATAAAAAAATAAAAAGTAAAGACCAGATTTTTTTTTCTCCGTTTTAACAATTTTTTTTTTTTTTTTTTTCAAATAGCAATTAGATTCTCAGTTTCATTTTTTTCTGCAAACTCTTTCATCTACAGCCATCATCTTTCTTTCTCTTCTCAGAGCACGCCACAAGAACATATACATTTTTTTGTGTAAAGTTTCTGATTTATTTTCTATTCAAGGGTGTTCTAGATTTTTCTTGTGCTTCCCAAAAGAATTTAAATAAGACTTTTTGTATTTTTTGCTCTGAAAATAAGATTTTTTTTGTTTGTGTTCTTAAGTGGAGATGACTTTAAAGAATAACTAGAGGAAGATAAAGGCAGAATAAATTTGCCCCATCACAAATTTCCACCGGATAGATTTGAGAAGAGGAGAAAATTTTTCAGATCTGATGAGATGGTAACAAAGACATTAACCCAAAATCAAAAAGTTTTCTGGAATGGAAACAAAGGCATTAACCCAAAATCAAAAAGTTTTCTGGAAAAAAAAAGAGTGGGAAAAACTTTGGTCACCCTCACGGCCTCACGTTAGACTAAATGCTAAATATGGTGTTGGTTTGGCTGGGGAAGGTGGGAGGGCAACGAGAAGACACAAAGAAGGAGAGTGAGAGAAAAGGGCACAAAGAGAAAAACTATTTTAAATTATTAACGGGTCCCTCAAAAATTCAGACAGTAGACACGTAGCGCCAACGGGTGTGGTGAGCAACACACCACAGATGCCTCTAGCTTTATTCATCATTTTATGCATTTTAAAACGTTAACGTGTCATCCTCGTGCTACATTATCTGAAAATGGATAGTTTGAATTATGACAATTTTAACACTTTACTCTTTAAATTTTAAAAAGTAATATTTGTTTCCTTTTGAATTTTATTATGTTAATAAGTTTTATCTTTCTGTTACAATGAGTGATGAAAATCGACACGTGTCAGGTACATGATCCATTTGAAGATGATATTATTGTAAATTAATCTGTAACAACCCTAGGTTATTAAAAAAGTAATTAAAAAAACTCAAATGCGTTAAAAAAACTCATTTTAACATGAAGACCAATCTCCCACATATCAAAACCAAGAGAACCTCTCATTTTCAAAGCTTAGGTTTTGACAGAGAAACGAAAGGAAATCTATGGCCGAAGAGTTCGTTGTTGGTTCTACAAATGGCGTTCCCATGGATGCCGCTGTCGCCGAAGCCCCCAACTCTATCTCCCCCGTCATCCCCAGTTGGTTCTCCGAGATTAGCCCAATGTGGCATGGCTCTTTTTCTCTCTCTCTCCATCATCTATCCTCTGTTTTGTTTGGTTGGTGAGAAATTGCGGGAAAATGAGGCAGAATATTTGAGTATTTCATTTGTTCTTTAATCATCTGGTTTTTTCATTAGGTCAAGACATTAGTTTTTTGGGTTTGTATGATTGGTTTGTGTATAATATTCATGTGTGTAGCTACTTTATATTCAGGAGAGGCATACTCCTTGAAGGTGGAGAAGATCTCACGATCTTCCATTTTTTTCGACGTAATAATAATAATGAAAGCAAAAAATAAAAATAAAAATAAAAATGAAAAGAGGAAATAATTATATATAATTTCAAAAATGGAGAATTATCTAATTACGATGGTATAAGTGTAATTGCACTTTCAATTCTCATTAAATAAGTGACACGTGGCAATTTCATCACTCATTGTAACAAAATGGTAAAACTTGTTAACGGAATATTGTTCTTTTACAACAAAACTCAGAAAAAGTTTAAACTCAAGTTATAACTTTATTCAAGTTTACGTTTTTTTAAGTTCCAACTTTATTCAACTTTATTCAAGTTACAACTTTAAACTTAAGTTATAACTAAAATTCAACTCAAAAACTACATTTAAGTCACACTCTAAAAAAACAGGCCCTTTATATGCAGGGGAGGCACACTCCTTGAAAGTGGAGAAGATCTCACGATCTTCTATTTTTTTCGACGTAATGATAACAATGAAAGCCAAAAAAAAAAAGAAGGGAAAATGAAAA